ATCTGGAGTTTCAAAATTTTCTTACCACTTCTCACACTTTCTTATTTGAAGAAATTACAACCTTTCAAATGAAGAAGTGCGCATTTCTGTGAATTCTTAATTCTCTACCCCATAACTAAAAGTTTTGAAGATACTGCACAAACGTGGTAGTTTTCTGAAACTAGCAGTCTCGTAGATTACAAATCTACTTGGCGTTTTGAAAATACATGACATTGAACAGAATTACACTCATTTGAAAATTAGTAGTCCGCCTTGGTCTATCCGCGCTGGCTGAGGGGAAGATTGTGCGCGCCAATGCAAACGCGACGCTACCGCGCTCAAGGACACTTCTGCAGTAGACTCTCGTGCTCTGAGATGCGCCATGCACTCGTTTGCAATTCAGAAATCATTATGAATATTCCATTTTGATATGTGCTTGTGTATCGAAATGGAAATTTTTTGTGATTCTGAAAGCCAAGTCATCGAAGCTTATCATCCTTCATGCGCAAGCAGCGCCATAAGAACTGTACAACAGTGAAGTACTGGGTATTACTAAACTACTTCAGCTCGCCTACTTGTGTTTGAATTCAAGCCAACCTTACCAGGAAGGTCTTTCAGGGTGACGAAGCTTTTTGAAAACGGTCTTTTGCATGATATAGGGGCAGATGCGGGAACCACAGAACCATGTTTAATTTTTCCTGAACGGCCCTCTGAATACCAGAAAAGGGGTCCCTAGTTCGATTCCTCGTGGTGACAAATTTTTGCATTTCGAGTTGACGTGCCAAAATTCGCGCAAAATGGAGTTAGAACCAACCAGAACAATCAGAACTCCATTTTGCGCGAATTTTGGAACGTCAACTCGAAATGCAAAAATTTGTCACCAAGAGGAATCGAACTAGGGACCCCCTTTTCTGGTATTCAGAGGGCCGTTCAGGAAAAATTAAACATGGTTCTGTGGTCCCCGCATCTGCCCCTATATCATGCAAAGGACCATTTTCAAAAAGCTCGTCTGAAAGACCTTCATGGTAAGATCCGCCAATCTCACGTCAGTACATAGGTACCTATG